TTATTGAGTTTATTGGTACAATCTAGGTCTACAATCAGTTACATTCATTACTGGGATCCTGTACCTTCTCATGACAGGTCTTGGTTCTCATTTTTTCCCTTGTCCCTGCCCCCCCTTCACACCTTCCTCCCCTCCCCACTAACAAACTCTTTATTTCCATTTTTCCATTTTCTCATATTTTTTCTTTTCCCTTATTTCCTTGCCCCTACGCTTCCCCCTTTATCTACACCTTTACCCCTTTTCTTCCCACTTCACATGCACATGACACATCTTAATTCTTGATATACTCACTGGCCCTCTCCTCCTCCCACCCTCCTTTCATATCTTTATATCTATTAGAATTTTTGTTCAGCAATTGTATGTAAAAGTTTTATCAGCCAAGCACTGTGAAGTAAAATGTAAATATTAGTGCAAAGACATAAAATTTGACTTAAGTTTTTCCTCTTTTATTAATTTCAACTTCCTTAAAGTAACATGAGTCAATGGTAGATTCTTAACCACTTCTTATAATATCTTCTGCAATGCTTACAGAATGTATTATGTAAGTCACAGTGCATCACTTATCTTTTGTATTAAAAGAAAATTAATATTTTCGCAGCAAAAATACTATTGTGGTTAAGTGAAGAGCCATAGTATAAGAGTATAAGTATAGTGGAATAGAATAAGGATATGTAAAGCTATAATCTATAAATACGATATGCCAACTTTCCATCCACATTTGATAGAACAACACAATAGTTCACAAAATGATGGAAAGTGGAAAGTTGATGCTTTCTATCCTACTCATTTACTGCTTATGTTGAGAAGGGATCATCATTTGAACAATGACATTATGTATATAATAAATAAAATTAAACTGTAAGAAATTATTCAAATTTTGAAATACTACTATTTCAGGTGCATAGAATTTGCATGAAGAAATGTGATTAAAGAAACCAAATCCTTCTATTAGCTGCACTGAACCCCTAAAGCAATTTAGGAATTTGTTTCTTACAGACAATTAATCACATGCAGGCTTGCCAGATAACTATTGATTGCCCTTTTCCAGGCTAGCAGCAGTCAGACAGTAGACAGACAAATGCCCTCAGCAGAGGAAAGCTTCTTTCTGCTTCTGCCTCGTGTTGCTTTTAATTGTTCTTTCATAAAATGTATGCCATTTGCTGTTAATCTCTATAAGCAACACTTATATAGGTGTTACGTTTTTTGTTTACCTTTATGCCAAGGTCCTTCATAAGCTCAATCTCAAAATTCACTACATCATATGGCAGTCGGAACTGAGGGATTTCAGAAGTACTGATAAAGAAAGAGAGAAGAAAGAAAGATAAGTGAAAAAATTACCAATCATAAAAAAGTACCATCTATTTAATGAGCATCATTACAGGTATAAGTATTTTTCTATGTGTATTTCTGTTTCACATAATGTGAGCAAGAGTATATCCACATTTTCACTTCCATTGTAAAATATCACATGAATTGAAAAGATACAGTAGAAACTCATATAAAAATTGTAAGCAATAATTATTAAAGTGGTAATTTTAAAATTCTATATTTTATTAATAATTTTATGGATTCCTCAAATAATAAAAACATAAACTTTGAGAAAAGTATATATAAAGTTTAATATATACACGTGCTAAATATTAAAACAATCTGCTGGAAGATAAAATAGGTAAAATTCTTGAAGACACAAGCATAGGCAATGATATTCTGAACAGAAGCCCAATCACATAAGAAATAACATCAAGAATGAACAAATGGCCTTATATCCAATTAAAAATCTTATGTAAAGCAAAGGAAGCAATCAACAGAGTGAAGAGACAACCTACAGAATGGGAAAAAAAGTTAACAGCTACTCTTCATATATACCATTAATATTTAGGATATATAAAGAACTCAAAATTTAGAAAACCAAAATAAAAGACCTAATCAAAAAATAGGCAAATGAAATGGACACTTCACAGAAGAAGTTAAAATAGTTAATAAATACATGAAGAAAGGCTCAACATCTCTGACCATTAGAAAAAAGCAAATTAAAACAACACTAAGATTCCTCCTTACTCCGCAAAGAATAGCTATCATTGTGAAATTAAAATAATATCTGAAGGAGAAAGTATCCCTTCTACATTTTTTGTTGGGAATGTAAAATAGTATAACTGCTATGGAAATCAGTATGGATATTTCTCACAAAAGTAAAAGTAGAAATTCCATTTTACCCAACTATTCCTCTGACTGATATTTTCCCCAAAGAGTTAAAGACATTATTTTACAGTGATACACATATACCTTTTTATAGCAGTAAAACTCATAATAGCTAAATTATGAAATAATATTTTCCCACCAACAGATGAATAAATAAAGAAAATGTGGTTTACCTTCACAATTGACTGCCATTGTCATAGGAAGGATGAACATGGGTCATTTTAAGGAAAATGGGTGCACCTCAAAATTATAATTTTAAATAAATAAGACACAGAAGATTAAATATCACATTTTCTTTTATAGGAGAACCCCAAAATATAAATAAATTAAAAAGCAAATTTAAAGATGGATAATAGGAAACAGGGAGATAGAATTTTTGCTAAAGGGAATCAAACCAAGAGATGGAGGGAAGAGGGGGGAAGAGAAGGGAAGGGGATTAAAAAAAAGAATTAAGATATGCTATGGACATGTGCCAATTCCCCATGATGAAAGTAAGCATTATTTACTGCAAATATGTACTAAAATTAAAAATGTATGATCTAAAAATGGACCTCTAACTTGCTGAAATTTAAATATATGACTGTATTACTGTGCTGATTAAAGTACCTCACAAAAATGGATACACATTGAGGATATACTCCTAAGTGAAATAAATAAGTCACACGTGTGTAAGTACTGAATAGTTTCTCTGGTATGAAAAACTAAGATATATAAGATCCTAATGAGATGATTTCCAATGTGAAATAGGAAGAAAAGGGCAAAAGGCATAGGGAAAGTGGGAAGGGTAGGGGAAAGGTAATAAGGGAAAGAAAAAAATATGAGAAATAAAAAAATGGAAATAAAGTGTTTGTAAATGGGGAGGAGAGGAGGGGGTGTAGGGAGGGCAGGGACAAGGGGAAAAATGAGAACCAAGACCTGCCATGTAAAGGTGCAAGATCCCAGTAATGAATGTAACTGTACTGTATATCTAGAATGTACCAATAAACTCAATTAAAAATAAATAAAATAAAATACTTCACAATTAGTTCCATGTGATCAACAGAATATTTTTACGGTTAACCATTATTTGTCCATGAAAGTGTATAAAAGCATACAATGTGTTACTGTATAAAAGCATACACTTGTTACAAAGTAATTCTATTTGCTATCAGTGTAGATTGCTTGTAGTTAAAAATATTGAGTCATATAGTACTATTATTCCTATAATAATTTTTAACACTAAGGTGACGCCCAAATAACTATGCGAAGTTTTACAGTAGCAAAGCCTATATGTGTTCAGGAATATATAGGGATCCATTCATTCATTCATCTATTCATTCAACAAGAATTTATAAAATGCCAAGCACAGTAGTAGCTGCAACTATTTCGTGATGAATTTTAGCTTCAACTGTTCATATATTTTCTTTCTTGTGTGAAAAAAATATATAAACAGATAATTATGACAGAATGTGTTAAAATGAAAAGACATACAGAAATATTACAAAGATTAATTTATAAAATAAAAATTATTGAAGGTGAATCTTCCTAATCATCCAAGGAAGTTTTCCAAAGCAGTTTTCTAATTCTTTGGTGACATAAGAACTACAGTATCGAATGAATTTTCATACAAGCAATAAACAAGCCACCATGACCAAGGCTATAAACATGCAAAGTATAGTATTAAAAACTATAAAATTAAAGTTATTTATAAAAATAATTTCCAGCTAGCTGGAAAGTCATTTGTACAAATGAATTTAGGTCTAAAGTTATTTGTAAAAATAATTTCCAGCTAGCTAGAAAGTCACGTGTACAAATGAATTTAGATCTAGGCTAGAGTTAAAAACATCCCAAACTGTCCTGTGAACTCCAACCACATTATATTTTGGTTCATCTGAATGCTCTGGACCCATAGAAGGTGTCGTCTTTGAAGACTAAGCAGAAGTATTCATAAATACTATGGATAATGTGCAAGCACAGACAGACAGCCTTGACAATTACGAAGTATTGTGAGAGGAGTATTAAAAATAGACTAAAATGCAGGTTCTCAAAATGCTAGAGAGGAAATTGAAAACAATGGGCCATAAAAAATGCCTGCAAACACAATGGGCCAATAGGAATGCTAGCCAAATAAACCAATTACCTTAAAGTAAGGATTTCATATCTATGCAGACACATTTGGAGACTGAGTACCTTTCTATAGCTCAACCCTACTCTGGGATTTTTATGGGATGTAAGTAGAAGTATACAAAATAAAAAGAAAAAAAAAGTGGTGCTAGTGCAGGCCAATGACTGATTTAACTCAGAAAGAGTAGGTAATAAGAAGTAGAAACAACTTTTCTGTTGGCCAGAAAGGGGTGCAAAATTAACCTAGCAGAAAGAACCTTGAGCAATGAGGAAGCAGTCAACTACTGTCTGTAGCAGTACAACTTCGAACAATGACCAGGGCAAAAGAGAAAGCAGGATGTGGGATTGCTGGAGATCCAGCAGTTCTTAGAACTCCACAGTATCCTAAAAATCACGGTCAACTAACTTAGCACCACACTTGGTTCATGTGTTACATGATTAATTATGAGAGAATCACATTTCCCAGCATCTCTTAGAACAAATAGTGTAATGTAAATATTGAAAAATTGGTTAAATTTGATCATTAAGCAAGCAGAGTATGAAGAAGTGATTGTTATAAATGCATTATTTTTATATTAATAAATAGATGGGACCAGCAAACAGATAGGAGATACTGTATACACACATATGTAGTGCAACTGAAAAATGAAAAAATAACAAATGTGAACCAGAGTGTTTCAAGGGGAAAGATTACTGTGGGGTAAAATACCCAAGCAGGTAAGATGTTTTATAGTTTTTAATGCCATCAGCATGTAATGACCCCGACATATTTATCCTTGAATTTTATTTTCCAAACATGTATGTCTACTTGGGTGTCTAATAGCTATCACAAATTATCATGCCTCGATATAAACTTTGGTTTCTCCACTTTGTCACTGGTCTTTAGACAACTCTCTTCTATGAATTGTTCAAGCTGCACTACCCCATGACCATGCCATGCCTTCTTTAACATTATCATATCATATATATAGTATACCATATATATATATATATATATATATATACACACACACACATATATACTATATCATATATATATATCATACTACATATTTCAATCATTGTTCTAGAAATTTGTTTCATTTCTTCTTACTTTAAACTCTTATTAAATTTCTCTGGTTAATCTGAATTACTTTTGTTCCTTGAAGTTCACTTAGCGTCATTAAAACAGCTGTAATTAATTATTTGTCAGGGTGTTCATAATCTCTATCACAGGCAATTTATTTTATCTACTTAGTAACATAACATTTCCCTGAATATTCTTGATCCTTATGACCACACATTGATATCTACACATTAAGAAAAAGTATGAGTCTGTTCCAAAGTTTTCAAGCTAGCATTCTCTCAGAAGGTCCTTCTGCACCAAGCCTGTCCAGAAATTCTCGACAGCTATCCTCTGTCAGTCCCTAGCCCTAAGGTGTTTGCAGATGCTGCAAAGTCTCAAGGTTCCCAGAGCCCAGGGATGCTCTGGAAGCTACTGCACAAGGATGAAATACCTGGGCCGCCAAGGTGGTTCAGGCTAAACTGGAAATGGAGTTCCTATCCAAAGTTCCAGTGGGTTATGAGAGCCCAAAGCTACTATGTTTGGCCAAAGGTGATGCGGCTTACCACACAAGTTCATTTGCTACGGATTTCTGTCTGGCATAAAACATGTCTGGAGATTTAGCCAATGGATATAAACCTGGGTTTAGTAGTCCTGAGTATCTGCCTCACACTGGATTTTATTAAGGCCATAGTGGTAATTGAGTTTCATTTACTTCCTTTTCTTCCTCCTAGGTATAATAACATTTTTTTCCCAGTAGTGCTGCCTGAGATAGGGGAAAAAGCGATGCAGTAACATAAAACTGTCTATCCTACCTTCTTCAGTGTATCTTCGCTTTTAATATACCAAGACCAGGTAATGTGATCCCTCATCTAGTTTTCTGTACACAAGTGAAAGCACTTCCTTATATGAATAAATGCTTACATTGTTAATCACTAGAGAGTCCTATACCTCTATGTACACACACACACACACATACACACGGTTTTTTTTTTTTTTTTTTTTTTTGGTACCAGGGATTGAACTCTGTTCCTTGTGCTTTTGAGGCAGATAGTGGAACCACTAAGCTAAATCCCTGGTCCCCACTATATTGATTGATTCCTCATCAAAACTAACATTCCTAAAGATACTCTTTTACTTATTATCATCTGACATGTCTATATTTATTTTATTATTTACTTATTGTATGTCTTTTCATCACTATTTATCATTTCATCACTTTTCATCATTATTTGTCTTGTTCTTTCCGATAGTTCTAGTGCCAGAATTACCAGCATAAACTAAGGGTTTAATAAATAATGGAAAGAAATCATAAAAGCCAAGTGAATGCCAGGTCAAACAGAACTTTTTATAACAAAGAGAAAAGCAATATAATAAGCTTTGGACACTAAATGTTTTTGAAAAGTCAAATCAAGAAAAGCCAAGAGAACCATGGTATAGGCTGTGAATGTTAAATGACATTATAAATGGAGGACTGAGAAGACACTTTAAAAAGTATTCATGAAATACAAATGCCAGAATATTGAAGAGCAATCCAGGTAATTTCCATGTTTGTTGGTGATGGCTACTCCTGGAAATAGCAAGTTCAAAAAGAGAAATAGAGTTCGATCCCCAGTATCAAAAAGTAAATTAAAAAAAAAAAGAGAGAGAGAGAGAGAGAAATAGCACTGACAGTGCAAAGCTTCTGATGAGGAGATATCCAGGATGTGAATGCTAGAATCTGTTGCTCAGTACAGCAAGAGAACTCGGCGCGGATATATATGTTCAAATAATTTATATGTGCAAAGCACTTGAAAACAAGAGAGTAAGTGGGTATTCCTGAATAGTACATGAAAAGAAGAAGATTAAAGAGATAGTAGAATTTGAAACACATAATTACTTTCCAAGTTTGTTACCTATAGAAACTTTTCTTTCTTCTATATGTACTCTTATAACAATCTAAGCTTTAGAAAGACAAATATTCTTGCAGCAACCATAAATCCTTCTTTACCGTTAGTGGGATGTCAGATAACAGGGAAAAATGATTTTTCTATCCTTATGTTTCTTATATGTGATAGAATTCACTTGTAACAATTTCTTTCAATTCTTTTAAAGTGCAATTTTCATGCTTTGGTAGAACTGTGCCTCAGTTTTGAATGTCCATAATGTATTTATGATCATACATTATTAAAATAGTTCCAATGGCTATAACTGTTTCAGCTTGACTACATTTTTATTTATTGAATATCTTCTTTATTTTCTTTATTGTGACAAAATACTCTTGATATGATGAAAACACTGTAATGTTTCATCAGGTACAGTGTGTTACTAATTACTCTATTTAACAAAATATCATAGTTCATAAATTAATTTTAAATAAATAATCACAAAGTATGTACATCCATACTTTGTGATCTCAATACCATTTATTTTCAATATCATCCTATGAAGTTTTGTAATCTTTTTAATTGTCTGTTTAAAATGGAAGATATATTTGAAGAAAAGCAATACTATTGAATATTTTATAAATTTATTGTGGAAACAAAAATATCAATTGATTGTGTTCAGTATAGTAGAAATTAAATCCTGGACATCTTTTACTATCAATCTTTACCTGGGATACTAATTCACCAGGAAAAATTTTAAAAAGCTATTTGGATACAAAGAAGGACAGATAAACTTGATATCAACTCTTTAAGCAACTGATTTCAAATACAACACTAATGTAATCTTTTTTAGCCACAGTGAAAATACTACAGAGTGACGTATCACTAAGTGATAAAATAGAGAAATGTGTTGTAATTCTGGCTAAATTCATTTCAGTTTTTATAATCCTGTAATAGTAACATAAAATGTCATTGCCAATTGACAGGACAAACAAGAATGATTAAACAATCCATATTGTTCATAGATACTGCAAAAGTTCAAAGGTAAAGGAAAGAAAATAAGAATTTAAAACAACCACCACAAAGTATTTTCTCATAAAACCAAAGCAGTGTATCTATCTAAAAATGTTTAACAAAAATATAAAAATCTAAATTTACAGCCAATTTATATAATTTAAAAATGTCTAACTTGCATGTGAATGAAAAAAATACAGAGATCCTAATAACCATAATCATCTGCTAATATTGGTAACACATAATAATTCACAAAAAAGGCTGGTTCCATTTTAGGCTTCTTGTGAAAATGCAATTAAGGAGAAAAAGATTTTTACTAGTCTACCATGGTACACAACAATTAAATTCATATTTTTCAAATTAGCTCACATATTCGTTGATGTGTATAACTGAAAAACTCTTACAATGCTCATACATACATAGTTAATAGATTACATTTTTCCTAATTAAGAAAGTTCTGATAACATTCCATTAAAATATTCTAAATTCTTCCTAGTAAATAATATCAAAAGTATTTTATTTCCTAGGAAAAATAATTCATAAAATATGTGTAGTCACTTAAAGTCAAAACCGATGAAGCCTCAACACTGAAAAATAATTATTTTCTGACAATCACTTTATTTATGCTTCATATCCTTTCTAAAATATTTTCCCAGTATGTGATATTTTTTGCATCGTGATTCAGTGAAATAGCTTCATATTAATTAATAGCTTATATATTGATAAGTATATATCAATAAGTATACCAAACTATATTAATGAAACAAATTGATAATTTTATATTATCTTGGGTTTGGCATAGTGCCACTTGAACAAAATTGAGATTTATATATTCATTAGCACACATTTACAAATGCTAGTAAAAATGAGAAACAAAACAAACTTTATTCATAATTGATTAAAATTATATTTTATGTACATAGCATATGACAAATCTGCTGTTTAACAAATACTTTAGCATCTACATATGGTTTAAATATAAGGTGTAAAAAGTTATACTAAATGGTTATAATTTATAATCCATTATTTTTCAATATAAGATGATACAGTTAGGAGAAAACAATTAAAATTGATAAATATTAACTTACCACCAAATTTCTTTCTCATTTTAACAATAAATATTTTAAGCAATATATATTGCTTACTTGTACTAAATTACATGTTTTTGATCATAAATGTAATATATATGAGATATAGAATTCCATTTATTTTACATAAAGTAAATTATAATTATGCTTGGTTTAAACATCTGAAAGTCACTGAAAGAAAAAGCCAGTTTGCCTTTCTAGGTATGAGTGCACATGGAAATAAAACGAACATTCAATTGAATGCTGATTTACAGTAGTAATACTTATTAATATCAAACATTAAAAATGTACTAATTGGGGAAACATTACACAATGGACATTTAAAGAAAACATTTCTATAACAATACTATAATCAAATGCAGACTATAGAGATTTAAAGTAAAATATATGAGCAGGATAACATGTGAGCAGACAACAAATGTAAGGACTGATACTCTAAGAAGTTAGGTTTTTTTTTCATCTCAAATAGACATGATTTCCAGATACATCTCCATAAAGGAAATATCCACAAGAATGAAACAATTTTTTAAACATGATTGGTTCCTATTAACCAAAAACTTTTTTGGTGTAATTTGTCTTAAATTCATAGAACTAGACAGATGATTTTTTTCTTTTTTATTGAGTTCATTGGTAGTTTTTAAGTATACAATACAGTTACATTCATCGTGATCTTGTACCTTTACATGTCAGATATTGTTCCCCTTTTTTTCCCCGTACCCCTGTGCTCCTGTCACCTCCCTCCACCCTCCCCTATTTATAAAGACTTTGTTTCCATTTCTCATATATTTTCTTGTCCCTTATTTCCTTTCCCCTACCCTTCCCACTCCCCCTACACCTTTAGCCCTTTTCTTCCTATTTCACATTGTCAGATAAATATTTAAACAAATATTGTTTAAAGCCAACTGCAAAATTTAAAGTCAATAATGTAATCAAAATTTGAATATTTCAGAAAAGAACATTTTAAACACCATCTGTGAGTCTGAACTTTCTCTATGATTCTCAAACAACAATATCCATAATTGTTTTACTTCATCATTTTGACACTATGAATGTGAAATAAGTGTATGAATTACCTTAAGCCACCAACATATTCTTGTTTTTCAAATATAGTGATGTCAGAGTAGCCTAATCGAGCCAAAAAAGAAGCACAACTTATACTGGCAGGCCCAGCACCAAAGAGAGCAATTTTTGCAGAATAGGCATCAGGCATTTTTTCTTTGGGAGGCAGAGAAGGATTTCTAATCTGTGGGATGTTCATTCTTTTAAATACCTATGGAAAAATAAATTGCCATAATTAAAATTTTATAATTAAATCTAAAACACATTTTTAATATTTCAACTCCATTAGTGATTTAACTAGCAATGAGCAATGCCTGACATAAGTGGAATTTGTATTATGTCAAGTAGATGAAGTCTTAAGACTGGCTACATGTCAGTCTTTGAAATTCCTTCCAAGAGTTTTACCTCCTAAACTTTGCATGGTAGCACAAGCCTGTAATCCTAGCACTCAGAAGACCAAGTCAGCATGACTGTTGTGAGTTTAAGACCAGCCTGGGATACACAGTGCATTCAAGTTGGAACTACATAGCAAGATTGTGTCTCAGAAAGTTGAAAGAAAGAAAGAAAGAAAGAAAGAAAGAAAGAAAGAAAGAAAGAAAGAAAGAAAGAAAGAAAGAAAGAAAGAAAGAAAGAAAAAGAAAATCTGACTTTCCTTCCATACTTCCACTTGTCACTCAAGTAGGGGATTCCTTCTGTGAGCTCCTACAGCCTAAATATAGGCAATTACCTGCCTTCCTATGTGTTCAGTTTTCATGTCAGTCAGTAGCATTTAGTTTCTTGACAGAAGATAAAATGTCATGTGTAAGAAATTAACTATTGTACTACCAGCCTTTCATACCTACCTGGCACATACAAGTGCTGAGTAAATGATTTCTTCACATCTACTTCTGACAATGATGGAGTAACTTTTAAAGAGGAACACTTTGGAAATCTGATTAAAGGATGAGAGATGTACTGAGGCAAACCAGACTTAGAGATGCCAAAAACTCAAAGAAAAACACACAGAAGAAAGAATTGAGATGAGAGATCAGAAGTCACTTTCCGCTGCCACCTTTGCTACCTCTCAGGAGAAGGAACAAGGTCAAGAATCTTGAAAGGAAGAACAGCTCAGAAGAACCAGCAAGAGAAACCATGACAATCTTCTAGAAATAGAATGTTTGGGAACACAGGACGCCAACAATGTGCAGCAGAAAAGAGTGCAGAAAAATGAACTTAATTCTCAGTAAGACATAGCATAGTATGTTTCTAAACAAAACTTCTATAACACTAAGGAGAGTTTTCTGCTTTTGATGATGTAGGCAATACAGAAATTTGACTGAACAGTGGCTAAAGATTATTTTCTTAGCTTTATCAAACTCCTTGCACACAGCTGAAACTTCTCTCAACTGGGGCAAACCAGAAGTAGATAAGCAATATAGCCTCAGAATAGAAGGAAGGTGATTAGTCCTCACTGTATGTGTCTACCTTCCCTATCTACCAAGTGATAGCATGGGCCTGCTGTAGAGGATTAGATGCCAATCACAGATTCTATAAATTATCACTTACCATGCCTGGTTTTTGACCAAGCTGTCTTGGTCTGCCATGAAAGAAAACAAAACAACTGGAGAACAGAGATTTATATACAAGTAAATGCAAATATCAAATATAGACCTCAGAATAATTATGATGAATATATTAAAAATACATAACAAAAATGTGAACTTTCACAAATTGGGGATTTGGTACAACATTAAAAAAACATTAGACAAATATGCAGTAATTGATATTGAAATTTCATGTACAATATTTAATAGTAGTTGGACAAAGAGCAAATGCAAGACTAGTGATCTGGAAGATGGAGCAGAAAAAACTAAACCAAGCATAGAAAGTCATTACAAAAAATATAAAATGGAACAAGAGGGATATAAAGCAAAATACAGAGCTCTAAAAAATGCACAAATGGACTCCTAAAAAGAGGGGAGAGTGACAGTGAGGCTGAAGCAAAAATTGCAGTGAACAAGGTCAATAATTTCCTCTAATTGAAAGGATGAATTCAAGAAGTTCCAAAACATTAAACAAGAAAAATATAAAGAAAATCATAATATCACAGTAAGAGTGTTGAAATGACAAATAAAAAAAATAAGGAACTGAAAAACCAACTAACCTAGGCACAATGATGTCAGTGAGCAACAATAAGGCTAACAGTTTAATTCTCACAAAGAACACCAGAAGTCAAAATGTAAATCAGTACTTCAATCACACTGAAAATACCTAGAATTCATTCAGAAGTAAACCATCCTTTAAATATAAATAGAAAATGAAAACATTTTCTGAATGACTTTGTTGACAGCAATAAAGAAATACTAAAGAATACTAAAAGAATTTCTTTAGAAAGAAAGGATTATTCCAAAGGGAAACACACAGATGCATGAAGAAATAAATAGAATTAAAGATTCAAATATGACAGAAAATGTAAATTAATATTGACTGTAGAAAATAATACTGCCTTTCATGAGGAGCTCAAGAAAAATAAAACTAAAATGCATAACATAAGGTGTGAAAGCTTAGATAAATAAATGGTTCTAAAACACTGCATTATCAATTTAAGTGGTAAAAACCCTAAGATTTATCAGACTGTAATCAGTTAAGGATATTTTTATCTCTAAGCTATTAAAACAAAATATAATTAGATAATTTGAAAATGGAATTTGTGTAACATGCTTTGTTTATTCAAAGGAAATAAGTATTAGAAAATTAAAAGATACACAAAGGTGGGAAATTAAGAAGCGGTAAGATGGAGAATATAAATATGAATAATTTAATTAAATGTAAATGGACTAAAATTTACATTAAAAGATAAAAGCTTTAAAAAATACATACTTTAAATTAATGATACAGAAAGGTGTAAATTTATGCCATGGAAAAAGTTACATCATTCAAACACTAACAGAAAGAAAGCTATTATTTGTAAGCCAATATCAAACATATGAGACTTTATGCCAAGATGCATTACTAATGTTAAAGAACTTTCCACAGTAATAAAAGGTTAATCTGTCCACAAGATTTTACAACTGTAAATCTATATGAATCTTAATTATAACATGAAATATATAAAGAGAAAGTGACAGAACTAATGGTAGAATAAATAAATCAAGGCCTCAGATATAGCGCATTGTTAGAGCACTTGCCTAGCATGTGAGAGGTGCTAGGTTTTATCCTAAGCCTGGCAAAAGAATGACAGAAAGATGAAAGAGAGGGAGGTAAGAAAGAAGGGAAAGGGGAAACAAAAACATTGCTATTCTGTATTTAAATTTTGACTGCTCATGGAAATCACCTAGGAATAAATTCATATTATGGATAAACTGAATATTTAACAGATTACCTCATATTGTTATTTGTATGAAATAGGTTTTAAAAAGTAACTTCTTCTTCTCATGAAAACTCAGATAAAAAAACAAGAGATAGAGATGGATTTTTTTACTTGAAGTGAGGCATGAGGGAAACGTGACAAAATTTTGACCTCATGCACTTAATACCAACTACTCTGAATCAAATCTGCCACCAAAAATGTATAAGAAAAATCGAAATGATCACAGGTAAAAATTAGAGTATTGTCAGCAAGTACTAGAAATGCCAATTTCTCAGTCTGAGCTAAACAACTTTCAAAAATGTTCCCATAGTATTTCATCATTTTTCATTAATAGTTTATCAAAATTACCAGTAATACTCACTGTGTTTCACCCTTAGACTGTAAGAGCTTTAAGGGCAGACTCCATCTTTGAATTCATCTTTTCATTTCTATTGTTTTTATATGAGAACATATATGCTAACCAATACAAAATTTAAAACAGATTGGTAATAAAGCAGCATCATGTTACCCACTTTACTTTAGAGCTTTATAAATGATAAATATGAATATGTTTCCTTCCCTGCACTACTTAAATACTACAGTATTTCTTTCATATTACTTCTGAATTGAAACATATTCTTCTTTTAGTTCTTCTTATGCATATTGAACAGTGAATTAAATTCCAATGTAATGTAGTAATACAGTCTATCGGAACATTAATATGTAGTTACAGTTGATTTATATTTCCCTATGTATAACTATATAACAGTTTATATACTCTTCATGAATACATTTTTAAAACACATTTAAAATTGACAAGGCAGAGATACATCTAATTTTCTTTAGGAATTAAATAAATGTTTCTCTCTTTGCATTCAGTTGATTAGTTTTATTTTTATAAAAATAATAAAAATTTACTATTTCCATGCTAAAATTTATTTATACACTAGATTTCATTTAACAAACTTTAAAAAAGATACAAGTTTTTAAAAGAATTATTTGTTGATATATTTTACAATGGAAGAGAGTTTCATGTGTCTTAATGCTTCCAGTCTAAACAGTTCACTATAATATGAAGTTGATATGATATACAGAATAAAATTTACAAAATTTCTTTCTTGTTACATTCACTCAAGCATAAGAAATAGTTTAGTTCTGAGATGTAAACAGATCTAAAAGGAATTCTACCTGAAGATGCTTATAAAGTACAAACAATCCAAAAATATTCAATATGTACACGTTTTCACCTAAGGATATTTTAATATTTTTAAATCAATCTTTAAAGTTTTCCTTCAAACATTATGAAGGGTAAATATCAAAATAAAGTGTGTGTTTACTGAATTCTTGCTGGTTCTCAACACAGAGTAGGAGGTTCTGAAAGGACCTGAATAAATGAAAGCATGCACACTCAACATAGAAAGCGTCATAGACCGGCACTACAGTGGAAATGGACAGCCTCTGATGTGTGTAACCCACGCCTGAAGCCATTGACTGTTTAGTACCTTCTCAATATATGGCCCTGCTCAGTACATTAGTCTGCAGTTGATACTCCTTTGTCTTTTTTTGTTCATCCTGTTTTCATATTTTTTATTGCACTTGATTTTCCCCTTTTACTAGCAGAGCGTGTGTGATAAAGGGTCTAGTATTGAAGTCAGACTGCTTGTTCCCTCGGGAGACTTTTCTATCACAGGAGTTCCCTTTGTCCCCCTCTATCCATCCTCTATTATTCTCTTTCTTTGTACTTTGACTCACTCAGATGACAGATGTTAAACAGAATTTAAACTTGTTTGTCTGGCTTATTTCACTCAACATTATATTTTCAAGGTGCACCCATTTTCCTTCAAATTTCTCAAAACTTTCATTTTTTATAGCAGAGTAGCATT